GGGGAGGGGGGAGGGGAAAGGTGATCCCCCTTCCCATGCGTCTGTGCGTTGGGAGTGCTCCGGGAGGGGGAGGGGGAGGGGCGCTGGGCTTTCGCTGCAAATCGGGTGTCAACAGTGACGACGCCGTGACCTGGCTAATTACGGGTTGCTTTGTGGAGGCTCTGTGGGGGCCGTTTCCTGAGGAAGCGCGCGTTGGCTGGCGATAGGTACTGGCTAATCAGATACTCCCAGGCGCCTTATGGCCCACTCGCTGCTCAGGCTGCTCCTCCTCCACCGATCTCTACTCCCACCGCTTACACATTTAGTAATTGCACATTATCAATGAAGACATGCCTAAGTACATACAATACAAGGACTCTTTTTCCGTTTATGCTTAAAGAATCAAAAAGCCATACGTAGTTTTTTTGACAACAGAAAGAGTTTTCCTCATTCTTGTAAATCAATGGAGCGTAATTGTTTCTGAAAACTGGAACTGCAAGGCGTAAAATAGAACAAATATAATAGGCGTTTGCATTTACATATTTTCAAGAACACAGCCTAATAAATAAACTTATATTCGATATTTCTCGTATGAGCAGTAAACATTTTATTACGTTCCAATGTGTTGCAACGTGTGCATATGCCGAATCTCATTGAAAGCAAATACAAAATAGAGGTTTTAAATAATGCTCTGTAACATCATAATTAGTGCTTAGGTTCAATATTTGTTGTCATCATGATTCTCTAATAATGAAAAATTAGGTCAATTTTTGTTGGTGTAATATTCCATCATTTAAATTCACCATAAAATAGATCTGAGTAAATGATCCAAATGTTTGAGTAAACGATCCAAACACACTACTTAATTTGGTTGGATGCAGTTGCAAAAAAATCTAGTGTCTTGTTCTTTTAGAGTTTTGTATATTTATTTAATAGCCAATGTAATACATGACGTTGGTTACAGTATTTTGTCATGTTTCTTAAAATTTCTCTTCTGATATTTATGTTGCTTTTTCGACCTTGGACGTGGAAGATAGAAATAGCATATGATGATTTCGACGAGTGTTTTCTATCTTCGTGGATGCCAAATTCCCTTTGATGGAGAATAGGATTATTTAATCCAGATATCATTTGCCCCTGAAGTCGCCTCGCTACTGTCCCTGACGTTTACTCGTAGCTTTGTTTACCCATGTAAGGATTTGTCATGGGGACTTTTTTGCTAAAATCAGACTGTAAACAATTCACGACATTAATTAAAAGCAAATATGATAACCAAACAATTGTCGAAAACAATGTTTTGAATGCATGAGTTTGGAAACATTCTTAGGGTTTACATTAATTTTCTATTCTTTTATTAGTCCAAAGTTGTTTATAAGAACACGTGATTAATAAAAATGTGATGGAAGAATTAGTAAGGCATTGATTATGTAAAATTATTTTACTTGGATTTAGTTCAGAAAAATCTAATAATTTTTTATTATTTCAGTTTTCATGAAGTGCATTTTGCCGAAAAAAATATTAACAAAATATATATTGTAGTAACACAGAAGAAACTCCGAATATAAATATGAGATTCATGAGAAAATTAATGCGGGTAGATTGCGTTTTCACGGAAAGAAATTTTCAAAGTTAAGAAATATATCGTCAAGAGTATTGGAAATAAAGCATTCTACAAAGAAGTGCATATAAAAATATTATAGTATGGTTTGGGGTCTTGTTACTTTCAAAAGGGCGTTTCCACAACGTACCTGAACCTTGGGCATTGTCGTCGTCGTCGTCGTCTCCACCGTCGCCATCTTCATCTGCCCCATCTCCAGCGTCCTCCATGGCCGTTTGCGAGGTCACACCCGCCCCCGACTACTTTTCCCCTTCTCCCTGTCCGGAGCGTTTCTGTCTCTCTCCCAGCACCAGCACCAGCAACAACAGCATCTGCACCAGCACCACCCGCGCGGGGGCGCCTCGTCCTCGCCCACCCTCACCCGCGGGGCTTGGATCACCACCTTCCCGTCGACGCCCATTTTGCCTTCGCCGCCGCCGCCGCCGCCGCTGCCGATCCAGCTGTCCGTCGGTTTGACCGGCGCTTCACAGTACAAACCCATTTCTGCAGGGTTACACACCATTTTGTTCTCGGCTTCTCCGACCTACGGAGAGAACCCGATCCCCGTTCTAGTGCTGCAGCACCCACTCTTTCCGCCCTCTAAGCTCTCTACGATCTCTTCTCGTTGTTCGTCCCTCTCTGCGCCCAATGCTTGGCAGACGTGATTTCTGAGGAATCGCGTCGGAACAGTGACTCAACACAGGGTTTTCTTCGAAGCTTGCAGCTTACACTAGTTGCACTCTCCAATGTCAAAGTTCCTAAATCGAGAGATGCAGTTCCTATGGAAGAGAGAGACGATCGGCGGTGATTCGGTTGCTCGACTTGCGGCAATGGCGGAGGCTGCGGTGGAACAGCAATAGGAGAATTTGTTTTCAAGAAGAATATGTTTATGTCCCTCTTGTGTGCTTTGCGGTTTCTGGGCGGTGATGTGTTTGTAGGCGCGTTACTTTTGCATTGATGGCCTTGAAAGGAAAATGTCAATTTAATGTTAGGTCTTTATCTCCTTCTCATTTAGTTAATGTAAATTGTTATTTGTATACTTCAGTTTTCACAAATTCTGCAGTAATATTACGGTACATAATGTGCGTGTTCGATTTATTTGAGTCCTTGTAATAATGTTCAAAGGTCTACTATTCTTGAATGCATTTGTTAAATGCGATTTTCTACTTAAATTGAACAAACTTAATTTTCTCACTGATTATTCAAACACTTACTTCAATTTTTTAATAATATTTAAAAATATATTGTTACCAAAATACTTTTATTAAAATTACGACTTAATACGTATTGTTACCTATTGTGCAAAAACGTATGTATTTTGTTGCTGTGTTTTTCCTTTTAAAATTTTGCCCTGTTTTTGTTTTAATATGCAATATTTTTCCGGAAGAGATTAATAGTTTTCTTCATTTATTTAATGTCATTATAGATCTTGCGTATCAAAGCAATATTGAATATGCATGCAGTTTTCTCATACAAGACCAATTAGCAAGATATTGCGAACTAATGCATATAATGAAAAACGAGGGGTGAATGATCCTTCAGTGCGAGTTGACCAGCACATCAATTCGGCGAGCGTCCTGAAACCGAGATAAATTGAAAACATTTTGAAAGAAACATCCTGAAATCGAAATAAATTGTAAACGATTTTAAGTTGATAAAATTTTGAATTGTTGATATAAGAATAATTAAGCAATACATAAATATTTGTTTAGCTACAAAGATTTTAGATTAAAAAGCAGGGAAATTTGACAATTCAAATAGTGTAGAAATATTTATTTTAAAAGTAAAATTACTAGAGTAAAATTCTTGTAGCAATTTTCTGTCGCATGCACTGATGCAGCACACGAAAAAATGAAATACAGAAAATAAAATTCAGTGAAACGTCGACATCCGTGTGTGTAGAGGTTTTCGCTAAGCCGTTGATTTCGATGAGCCGTTGAAATTTTCATTCGCTTCTAGATATTCAACATCGACATCACACCTTACCGTAGAGTCAACATTCTTAAGGAATAGGGATTTTTAGCGTCAGCCATAATGAGACATTCTGAAACTCTATTGATCACGTGACTGACGACTTTATACGATCGTAGTTCATTAGAGTTTTAGCAATTGCGTTTGCATTATAAAAATAGAAGCTTTTCAAGCATTATAAAATTAAGTTGAATCATATAGCGAAGAGAGTAGGCTAGTTGTGAGACATTTGAACCACGATACGAGACCAGAGTATAAGAAATCCATATTGTGCGCGGAGTTTCAGTTTTTTTAGCTCTCCTCGATGAGAAGAAAATCCAGTATTATGAATCGGCGTTGGGTATGAACATAAGACATAACCTAATTAGAAGATATCTTCATTTATATCTCGCGAATTTCATACCTTTTACCTTTCCAACATTTTTCATTTGTGTTTGCCAATGTTGTGGAGTTGGTAAGGAATAATTGTACCTGCCTCATAGTTGGTTTATTAGCGTTGGAAAATGCAACCTCTCCTGTTTTAAGCGGCCATTTTGCCGTTTGTAAGTTGTAGCATATCCTACAGGCGTGCACTTTTTATGAAGGTATAAGGTCGTACCTTAGGCATGAGGTAAGACGTTATGACTTCAAGGTCCATCACATAACGTAGTTGCTTTATTTTGCGTGGCGCAAAAACTCGCTATTAAGTAACAATACTTTAGAAACGTTACAAACTTCTTATACGGTACACTAACAATAACAATTCACCATGTAACTACATGTACCTAATATCTAGCAAGTTTAAACTTCTTAATTTATTCTGATCCAAAACTACTTCTTTCAAATACCACCTAGTGAGGCGTAGTATAGACGACTCTCCTTTACGCTTTAAATCTCTGTCCTGGGAAAATCATCTGTCTTCTTTGGAGCGTAGCCTTTCTTGTCTTTCTATGCAAATGGCATAACTATTCCGAATATTTCTCGTGGTCTTCACGCCTCATTCTTTTACATCTTCTTTCATTCCACTTCCTCCGTGCTCGTATATCTGTTTTCTTAATCCTGTCTTCGCTCCCTTTCTTCAATCTCTCTCTCCTTCAGTTGCTCACTCCCTCCCTCTCTCTCTCTCCCCTTCAATCACTCACATACTCTGTACTCACTCGCTCATCTCTCATATTTCGGGATTCCCTTCCCCTATCCCCTAGATGCCGTCTTCCAAGCTCCTACCGCTATTCGAGGAACAAAGCTTTGTAGTACATCCTCGTAATGTAATGCATTTTTATGTACACTCTAAACAGAAATGAGAATTTATTTATTCAAATTACTGCATGTGAAATGAAAGACAAAATTTAAAATGCTGGAGTCACTCCCACATTTCAGGATAAGAAATTAAATTTTTACCAAGTTCCATAATCTAAAATACCTAACGTATTGTAATATTTTCTACATTATAATCGGTTATTTAATTCGAAAATGTGATATGTTTGGGGATCGTCTTTGTGTGATTATGCAATATTTAAAATGCAATGATCAGTATTAAAAATGTTTACATTGTTCCAAAAGTGTGAAATGAAGAATTGAACAAAATAATATTGATGTAGGTTTTTCTCAAAGTAATTAATCACAGTTGTTAACTATTTTGTAAATTTATGAACAATATTAGAAAATGTACCTCTTAAGACTCTCCATTGTGCAATACATAGATAGAATTGATAATTCCAAAAGAAGTTCGAAAATATTCACAAAGAATAATATTGGAATTTAAAAGAAAAGTCTTCTAATTTTATAGATTGCTTTCAGCACGAAACATTTTGAAGGCTTGTCTACATGTTGTGTTTGTTTACTAAATTCACGTTCAATTGTTTTAGTAAAATTTCATTGTTCCTTATTCATTTGTATTTTATTTTGTTTTAATTACTTTCGTTGATATACGCACTAAACCGCAAACAGTTATATTGATCGAAAATACTATACAAGTACTTTACTTTAGTACTTTTTAATTACGTAAAATACACTTGTCACAGGATATCAGATAATATTCAAGTAAAAATTACGTTTGAATTCGCACGAGTGATTTGGAGGATGAATCTTAAACATTTTTTTAAAAACAACTCATCTGCAAAACTGCTCGTCACACGTAAACTATGCGCATCTGGAATATATCGGCGGATCAATATTTATAAACATAGATGTTATCTTAAATGATTGTATAATTTCAGTACCAATTATGATATCGAAATAATTAAGGTCACTGGACAGTTTTTACTTTTCCCCCTTACTTTGAAAGAAGAGAAAGTATGTACCCAGCGCAGGAATTTGACGATTTCCTGCAAAAAAACTGCAAGGTCCTGGTAATAAATAAGTAGGATAAATATTATTTCCATACAGAGTAAATTAGGTATTTCTCTATCACGTTGTGTATTCAGAATACATATTTTTAGGTCTTTGATACCGAAAAATCAATTGACGAAAACCGTCTGTCCAACTGTGCAAAGATGTGCTAGCTTGGCCACTGATGATCATCACAAAAAAAAAACAAGAATGATTTTCACTTAATTAAATGTATATTTTCAGGGAATTACATCTTCCTATACTAATAAAACAATGTACAGAATTCAGAATTCGGAAGTGTTTCGTGACTTCTTTGAACTGTTGCGAATGGCGTTGAAACCGGTTTTTATGAATATTAAACCGACCAACGTGCGCTGGGACCGCGGTCGTGTCTTTCCTCGCTGGCTGCACTGTACGCTGCGCTGCGGGGCGCGGAGGCCGCCCCAGACTTGCTGCCCGGCCTCCCGGCACAAGCGATAGCGGAGCGGGGGAGGAGTTACATGAGGACTTCGGTGCAGTTCGGGAGGGCGTTTGTACGGCTTCTTACCCGAATCTGCTTCCCAGTGGGCTCCTACAAGGAGGCCATGATTTGTGGATGGGTCGTGGGGAATTGGGTCGGTGTGGGGGGAGTGGAAGGGGGGGGGGCAAGGAAGAGAGAATGAGACGGGAGGGGTACAGAGGCTGGAACGCTAGTACGGAGAGGGTCGGAGGGGGGCGGTTTGGGTGACGACGGAGCCGTACCTCGCAATTGGGCGAACACCGCTGCCATCTGAAGACATCGCGCTGGCCGCTTTGCCACGACTGTCACTGCATTTGGGCGAGAATCGAAATGCTAGTTTATGGAGTTCTCGAGTTCACTCGAAATGTTCTTCCGCCTGTGTTTCTATATTCAATACACTTGTGTATTGTTTAGACGTTCACTATCTTGTGAATTTAGACTATAATATACATTACTATTAAAAAGAAACAAGTAAATTAACATCGACATAAACATTTTATAA